GGATTGTTGTATTCTCTGTTCGGCTTAGTTTTTCAGATCTTTGCTGTGGAGGGACGACGTGGTGCTTCTGCCTAGAGCGCCGTTTTGCCAGAACTCCAAGATATTATTTTTAGTAGGTAAGCCAGTACTAGAATAGATAGCATTGACCCTTTCAATTGGTTCTTGGGGAATATACCTATTTCCATTATCTTGACCTCTCTGATTAGAGAATCTTTTTTTTAATAAAGTAGTATTTTATTATCCAAGTAGGAAGCTTGCATTTTTATGACAAAGGGCAAACTGTCTTTTTTTCTTTGACATTGGCCTGTCTTTGATGAAGTCACTTCATGAAGTGTGCATATATTTGAATATTGTTGTTGTTAGTTGCTGTTGAATGGATTGTGACCATGGTGACCACATGGGTGCAGAGTAGAACTGCTTCATAGCGTTTTCAAGGCTATGACCTTTTGGAAGCAGATTTCCAGGCCTGTCTTCCAAGGCGCCTTTGGGTAGGTTCAAAGTGCCAACTTTTCGGTTAGTAGTTGAGCGCTTAATCGCTTGCTCCACCCTTAGTGTATATGTAATGTTATGGTTTCAGAAGATATTCAAAATACATGGACGAATTGTTTTTCTTATTGTTGCGCCATGGTCTGAGGTTGCCAACAAAAGACACGAATCACACAAAAGCAGTGTGTGGGACAGTGCTTTGCTTACATAGAGAAAAGACAGCAAGGTCAGCTTCACAAACAGGCACCAGTTTGCCATGGCCAGTGGGTCGCTTCCCGCAGCCAATACAGAGTGGGTGTTCTGCGCACTCTTCTCTTGTGCCACAGGTGAAGGACTCTGTTCCCTCCCTGCCAGGAACAGATACAGAAATGGAGTTGACCAGGTGCCATACAATGCCTGTGCATGAGCAGATATGTAACCAGAGCAGGCAATGAGGATTCCTTGATTAAGAAGAAGAAACTGGGAGATAGAGTGAAACTGGGTTCTCAACATTCATAATTAGGAATGTTCTGGACCCAAGGCCTCTGGTTAGGCAGCCCAAATGGGAGGCACAGAGGCCATGGCAGATCGTCCTCCCAGTAGTCCATCCTCCAACTCCCATCAGGGTGCCAAAAAAAAAAAAAAAAGAAAGAAAGAAACAAAGTGGTCACAAGTCCTGGTATGCCCATCATCCATTTTGGACATTGAGCTGTGTGTCTGTGACACGGTGCACAATTCTGGATGTTGTGTCTGCACCATTTTCTTAATACCTTTAGGAGACATTTAATGAGGGTTACTAGTAGAACTGTCCCCAGCAAGGTGATCAAGCTGGCTTGGAGGAGAGATCACAATCTGATCCGTCCTTGCTGAATCCAAGCCAACTGACTAGGCCAAAGAGAAAAAACAGCAGTTTTTCTCCCGACATGCCACATGTACCCCAAAACTATGCCATCAGATTGTCCAGCATTTTGTGGTTCTGGAGGGTGATAGCCATTGTCCAGTTGGTTAGCATGGTCCACCATATTGAAGATTGGCTGGAATGATGTGCAGAGATGGCTTGTGGTCTCAGTTGACAGAGCCAGCAGTTGGTCTGATTGGTAGCTGTCGCAAAAGCCTGTATCACTGGGGCTCATCAGTGAGGGTTGTGGCCATCACTGTGAGGCAATCTGGGCAGAGAAAGAGACAACATTAACAATCCCCCCTTTCCTTACCTCCCATAGGTGGAGATGCTCTTGCCCTATGACTTGAGGTTAGGTTTGCGTGGGTATAGCCACCCAGGCTATATGTC